ACATTTTTCATGATTTTACAAGCGACAAATCTCGCAGATATCATGAATTTTCACACCATTTTAAACTAATATTTTATTAGTTTAAACGGGTTAAATTATAAATATATTTTAACTGATTTTTTTTCAATAAATAATAGCAAATTTATAAGAAATCTCTTCATTTTTATGTACATTTACCATCATCTTCCTTATATGATCCCAAGAATGATAAAGTATCCTACGAATTTCATAAGGTTAAAAATCAATGAACTGTTAGAAAATAAAAATTAAATTATTTTCAAATAATAAAAGTTTCTCTGTAATTATCATTTATCATCGTGTCACTTCTCTTTAAAGGGAAAAGTTATATACACGTACTACATTTGTCTAAACTAGAGTGCACTCGAGTGAGTATAGTTTTTTTTTTTTTTTTTTATACAAAAGCTAGCTGGTAAGATGGGGTTGGATGTTTCATACTCGAACAAAATGGTATATTTACGGATGGTTTACTTCTTAAATCATTCATTATTAGTCTTATTTTTTAAAAAAAAAATTAATTGAAGAACAATGAACTCCACTAAAGACTAGTTGTTTTCATTCATATTCAACCCTTTAAGGTTTACCTCGATAGCTTAGACACAAGTACTAAAAAAAAAAAATCTAGTTAAAAATCATAATAAGTCATACCCGGTAAATAACGATTGAAAATTTTTTATATTTATTTATTTATTTTTTTAATATTTTTTTACAATTTTTTTTTTCACTTATAAAAAGCTCTTTTCTAGTTCAGTGATGAAGTAATTTACTTTTTTTGCATGTTTCTTTATGACAAATTTACTTTTTTCTGAACTCTCTTTAAACTATGGAAGAGGTTAATGATGAATAAACTACTTTTTCATATTATGTAAACGTTTGTTGTACTATTTCAATAAGAACCGGTATTATTATTATTATCATTGTAGAAAATTGCAAACTTGTAGAAATCTATTCTTTATATCACTTTAGACATCTTCATCCCTCCTTTTTTTTACCTTTGAAGAAGGAAAAAAAAAAGAAAAAGGAGAAGGAAAATCAGGTTAAAGGGCCCAGCTCCTCTTCACTTTCTATTTAACAGCCTTTCATTGTAAACTATTCTTTGACATCTTACACTTTTACTTTCTTAACTGTCCTAATTTATGATAGCTTACTACTTATTAAACATTAAATAATATTAAAAAAATATATAGATTTTTACAAAAATTTAAATCAGTATTCTGGAAAAAATATACTGTAATAATTTCTATTTTAATTTCTGTTAGAAAATGGTAATTAATATATTAATATACATTAATAAAGATATATCAGGACCAACTGGAAAATTGAATAAATAATTACAAAATTATAAATTAGAGAAAGTGTAAATAACTAAAGATTATCAAATTTTATAGCCTTTTATAACCCTATCAACTATTTTATCTTGCTTATTATTTAAAGTATATTTTCAATAGATAAACAAGAAGTGTTGTTATATACAATACAATGTAATGTGTGACACTCTCCTTCACAGTATTACTTATCTTGAAGGAAAAGCATTGTATCTAATTATAGGCAAAGACATAAGTAAATATTTATATAAAATACAAAAGAAAATCACTTTAGATACATCAAACTCTCTTTTATATAAGAGTAAGCTTTTAATTTTTAACAGTATTCAAGGATATAGCTTGTAATTTAAAGCTCTTCCTATTTATATATAGCATACAATGAAACAATTGAGATTTGTTTTAAACAGTAAAAACTAAAGTAAATTTTATCAGAGAAAAAAATATACTATAAAATAAAATAAACATAAAAATATCTTTATACAAAATATGAACATTAGCAATTACCCTAAATTTTGTATAGGAATTGCCGGAAAAATGGTTAGAAACATTGATAGATAACATAATAGTTTAACTTTAATTCAAAGGCAACTTTCCTGGAAGGTTTTTCTTTCTTTCCTTTCAGATCTCAATGTCCATTTTTATCAACTCAGGTCTGTGTCCTTGTTTAAAATTTTCCTCCTTCAAAAAACCATTTTTATAATCAAAAATATACAAAACAGAACCATACATTACAAGATAAATTAAAGTAATACCCTTTAAAAGTACAATCTCTTATGACACTATTTATAAAAATTGACAATTAATAAATGTCAGAAACATTATTTAAATGTATTCATGAATACCTCTCTTACTAGGAAGAACATCTTTAAACATAGTAATAAGGAAAATGCATGATCTTGTTTTCATTTCCTCTACAGAATTCCTTCTCGAAGTTATCTAATTTTTTTTTTAATTATTTATAATTAAAAAAGAAACTTTATTTATATGCTTAAACATGGCATAACTGTGAAGAAGAGAATTAACAGTTGCTAGGTGCCATTTTTTTTTTTTTTTTGTTGTAATGCCAAGGTTGGATTCACTCCATTAAAGATTTACCAAATACTTAAAATATATGCAATTAATGAGATTTTTCAAGGCTCAGTATGCTATTTTAGTACAGGAAATGATGATAAATTGTTTAATAATTTAAGATTTTAGATAATCCATTGTTGTAATTTTAACAGAAGTTATTTAGTAATAGAAGTAGAAGGCCTTTACATAATAAGGAAATTTTGTATAACTCTTTATAAGGAATTTCATAACAACACTGAAAATGTTTTCTTTATAATATAAAGTGAAAAATGTTTTAAAAATTTCTTATTTCAATATATTCTTACAGTAACAAACATGACAGCATCAAGAAAATTGTGTTAAATTTCACATTATATGACTTCTTGTATGTAAAATATACTTGATTTTAAGAATTTAACCTCTTTATTCTGTATGTTTCAGGTACATCTGTGAATATCAATCATAAACTGAGCTCAGAGTAATGTGTTTTCTATTTATAAAACATGTAATATGTACTAAATAAAGTATTCAGTCTTTACACTTGTCAACTGACTTTAGGGCCACCCTCTCTGTTTAATAATTCATGTTAACATATACAGGCATTGGGTAGTTATGTATAAGAAATATTTTTAAATTAATTAATTGATTTTTATTGTTTTTTTTTTTTAATATCAATAAATAAATTTGAATATTAAAACTCATTTTATCAGAAAAGTAAACAATAATTACTGACACAGTTTACAGGAACTAGTTGATCAATAAATAGAGCAAGAAATAGTTCTCTTAAGCAAAAACATCATCATCATCATCAGAAATTCATATACTTTTTGACAATATAATGGAAGTATTTATTGGAAGTAAGGAAAAGATATAAAGAAAAAAAACACTACATACTCTTCCCCTTACTGATGTTATATCTACATACCTTATAACTGATTCCTATAATAATAATAATGGTAATAATAATAATAATAATAATAATACCATTTATATGCTAGCATCACTGAGAGGAAGTACAAAATTGTCACCATTTGAAATATGTTTTTGCTTTATTTATAACAAATTAGTTTTTGAAAATTATATATATAGGTTGAGTGAATCAATAGTTGATTCTATACAATGTTCTTATGTGTATAAGTTATTGTGGATACTATTTTCATCATATTTCTAGAATTGTTAAGGTTCGACAACCTTACAGCCTACGCTAATATCTCTTCTACAGTTCTTAGATTTCACACTTCAGTGATAAAAATATCGATATAATAACATCTGTACTACTGAAAAAATAATAATAACACTTCTTAACTATTTTTTTATGTATTTTTATGTGATTTTACCTTAAAAATCTCTATTTTTTAGCTTTGTTTTATTACATAAATGAAGGTAAAAAGTAGTTTTTCTCTATTTACTTAAGCATTAATTTGAAGAGAAGCAATTATTAAATGACGATTTAATTAATTTAAATATCATTTTTTTGTATTTTTTACATAATATTTTAACTTAGAAAAGTGTATTTTTACATAAATTAAGATAAAAAGTACAGTCGACCACCCCTATAACACTGCTACTTATTAAACATTAAATAATATTAAAAAAATANCCATGTTGTACGAGTCACTTAGATTTTACAAATATGTGTGTAGGGCTGTGAACGGCTCACGTCTTTGTAAAATCTAAGTGACTCGTACAACATGGATTTCATATAAAACGGAATAATCAACAGTGTTATAGGGGGTCGACTGTAATTATTTTGCACCATTTCCTTCAGCACTAATATGCCAGAAAGGAAAATATATATTTAAAAAAAAAAAACATTTAATTAATGTAAACATGATCTTTCTAATTTGTTTTTTTTATTATTATATTTTTAACAATATTTTCTGTTGAAAAAATTATATTTTTAATCATTTATTACACATTTTAAGTTGGAAAATAAAAATTATTTTGCATCACTTCCTGCAACACTAATTTGAAAAATAAAAAGGCCAAGAATTAAAAGGAAAAAAATATATTTAATATATAATAATTTAATACATTTTTTTAAAATCATTTCTTAATGAAAAATAATTATTTTGAACCGTTTCCTATATTTTAGATGTTAGAAAAAAAGTAATTTTAACTTAATTTCCTTTCAACACTTAGATTGAAAATAATGGTGACTAAACGAAGGGCCATTAAATAAACGAGGGCGAAACTATATTTTTAAGACTTTATTTCTTTTGTAGCTCTTTCAGGTTTAAAATAAATTTCCTTAGTAAAACTGTCTGGTGTGATTAAAACTGTTCAGTCACCTTGATCTTGAGAGTGCGTTGTCCCAGTTTAAAATACGATAGCAATATTTAAAATGGGTCAAGCGCAATGATTGGGTGATGTTCTCTTTATAAGTAAATGATTGTTGAATAACGATTGTATTATACGTACTGAACGGAGTAACAGATATAAGGTGGAACGAAAAATATACACACGCACTGAAAGGCCAACAGTGACGAGGTGAGTACGTTTACGAGCCGCAAAAATTCCCCATTGTCTTAACCCACAAATTTTCCATGTGTAATGGTACTTTTATAACTAATTGCATTCTTCTTTATTGATTTTATTACAGGTAGAATGAGGTCGTCCATATTGACCTTGTTGTTGCTATTCTTCTTATCTGCCGAAATTTGGGCGAAGCCAACGTGGCCGAAACATATTAAATATATTATTAAAGAAAAACCACGGTTGATAACCATCCCTCATCATGTACCGTGGCCTAAACCCGTGCCGATACCGAAACCGGTACCCATATTGAAGTCTCTACCTGTGGCCAAACCTGTGCCAGTGCCTCATATCGTACCGGTGATTAAACATATACACAAGTATGTTCCGGTTCCTAAAATTGTACCTATACCGAAACATGTACCGGTACCCAAGCCGTATCCAGTTCCGAAGATTGTACATGTCCCCAAGCCAGTAGTGGTGCCAGTACCGAAGCACGTTCCAGTACCCAAGCCTGTACCAGTGCCTGTATACGTTAAAGTACCCAAGCCATTCTTGGTACCCGTCCACAAGTATGTACCAGTACCAGTACCGAAACCGGTTCACGTACACGTCGAATTAATCCGAGAGAAACCGATCGTCATCAAAAAACCAGTGCCTATCATGTAAGTTTCCATTTTACTTTATCTCGATCAGTAATTTATCAATTTTACTTAACCTAATTAGATTTTCCGATCATTTTTTTTTATTTAATTGGCATATGTGTTACGTTAATAATTTGCGTCACAACCTCTTAATTATCATGTAAATCAGTAATTGAATCAATCCCCTTTAAACGTAAAGTAACAAGTCGATCGGTTAGAAAACACCATTAACTGATAGTTTAATTCTGATTAAGAATGTTAACAGTTGCTAATTATGTTACTGCATATTTAATTATGATTATTTTTACTAATTTACAGCCTTGAAGAGAAAAAATACCATCACCATCATCATGGTTGGCACGGATGGTAAACGATTAAAGGAATCAAAGGATCTCGTGTTCAATGTTCAACTGCTTACAATAAAATAACGCTCAAGGCAATAAAATATATTTTTAAAAAAATACTATTTAAGGATGTAACTATAGTAACAACACATATTTTTCCCTAAAAATCCTTAATAATTTAAGGTTTTTCGGTCTGGTAGGATCAAAGAATTTTTGGTGGCAAGAATTGATCTCGAACTGGCACCATATTTCCTTAATATTTGTAATGGTTTATTTACATTGACCCACATACCATAAATTTGGCAAAATTTATTTTATTTTTTCCTTATTTTTATAAATGATTTATTTGTCACAGTGTTTCTAATCTAAAATAAAAAAAAACAGGTTGTGTAACACAGGTTAGACCTGTCAAAGGAAACAAATCTCTGTATGAAAACATGGGATGCAGATGTAACTTAATATATTTTCTATGTATATATTTATATGCTGGTGTTGAGAAATGATACTGTTGATAACAATGAAGCTGAGCGTAACGGTTACTGGAATATAACTTCTGTACAGTTTTTTTTTGTTATGCTGTGTACATAGATTTTTATTTTGTTTTAAAGTTAATGATTTATAATAATAAATTTATATATTTTTTAATGCATTTACAAATTGTTTTAATTTACTTTTCAATAAATAACACAGTAAACGTTCTGAAAAAGATATATATATATATATTTAGTAACTGTAACTGTTAAGATACTGTAAATAAAACTGTTAACGAGGTCAAAGTTTTCATAATTGTATGAGAAAATTAATTTACAATCGAACCTTCAATAACGACCACCTCTAAACAGAAGACATTCTTTTAAATTTTAGCGAATTTTTGAAGTGATTTTACCCATCTTTTGGATGATTTTACTCGTCTTTTGGGTGATTTTACCCATATTTTGGGTGATTTTACCCGTGTTTTGGGTGATTTTACTCGTCTTTTGGGTGATTTTACCTGTCTTTTGGGTGATTTTACCCATATTTTGGGTGATTTTACCCATCTTTTTGGAAATTTTACTGACCACTTTTGAAGATTCTAACGGAATTTTTAGCGATATTGCTGAGATTTTAGCAAAGTAACCTCCAAACAACGGACACGCCCGAACAACGGCTATTTTTAATGTTACGTCGGTGGCCGTTGTTCACAGGTTTGACTATATTATAACCTTTTTTTGGTCTTGAGAAAAATGCCTTAAAATTTAATAACATTAAGCATAAATCTATTATTGTTTTTTGTAGGGCAGGTAATTAAGTTTTATGCCTTCCTGTATCGTTCTATAAATAGCGCATAAATGTTATAATTGTAATAATTATCATCTAAAAATATCAAGTTTAAATATATTAAAATTACGATTTTTTTTAAATCATAAACTTTTATATTAAAAAAAATGCATTAATCCAGCAAATTACCAAGCAAAATAGTTCGTTTATTCCTGAATTTTTTTACTTGTTTTATATATTTTCTTACTAATAAATATAAATTTTATTTTATGTAAAAATTAAATAAATAATTAAAATTCTTAAAAACTAAAGGTGTAATATAAAATTTAATTATGTATCTGTACCTTAAAATTTATAAAATATTTTAAAAATTTCCCTATAATTCCAAAAGAATCGTTAAAATAGCAAAGAGATCGCTAAAAGTTTTTAAAAAGATTACTAAAATTCGAAAACATTCAAAGAAAATACAAACTAAATTTTTTTAAATGCATTTAAAAATAAAACTGCCAAATAAAAATCGCCTAAACACACTAAAAATTACGTTTACAAAAAAATTTCATTAAAATACCTCAAAAAATTAATTCTCAAATAAAATCGTAAAAAATGTTTAAAATTACCCAGAGAACATCTTAAAATTGATAAAAATTATTCGGAGATAACGCTAAAAACTGATTAAAATTACCCACATAAAACCTTAAAAAATTATAAAAAATTACCCACAGAAAACCTTAAATAATTATATAAAAATTGCCCACAGAAACCTTAAAAAATTATTAAAAATTGCCCACAGAAAATCTTAAAAAATTACCCACAGAAAACCTTAAAAAATTATAAAAATTACCCACAGAAATCCTTAAAAAATTATAAAAAATTACGCACAGAAAACCTTAAAAAATTATTAAAAAATTACCCACAGAAAACCTTAAAAAATTATAAAAAAATTACGCACAGAAAACCTTAAAAAATTATTAAAAAATTACGCACAGAAAACCTTAAAAAATTATAAAAAATTACCCAGAGAAAACCTTAAAATAGTTTATAAATTTAAAGAAAAAAATTTAATATAACCGCAATTTTTGGAAAATAGAATATTTAATAAAAGGAATATCCGTAATGACACAATTTCTTTTGTTCTAATATTCAAATAAGGTCTATTATAATTTAATATTAGAAGCCATTTCCTTTTTTTTTTTAATTCGAAAAACATAAAATATTTATAATGGTAAGTATCCAAAAAATGTTATACATAAGCAAGCAAGCACAAGAGAATCAGACCTACTGAGTTACTTAATCTTGAACTAGAAATTGAGCAAGTAGGAAATGTTTAATATGCTAGTGTGTGAACTAGATAAACTTTATCCTTTAATCCTGACCGAACTCGTGTACCCAACTGATATTGCTTTCGTACGTATGTTGCCCTAGATATTTCGAAAGTGGACTTACCTCTGTGTTTTGGGAGATTTTTCTATATTTATATACAACGATAAGGGGTCGGGCATACACAAAAACAAATTCCTTTATTGTCTCTTAAAAAAGAACACGGGGAATCTTCAATACATTTTAATAAATACGGGGCCATAACTAATTCTCAGTAACGTCTTGGCTCATCTACTTATGCAAATTACGGTTTCTCAAGTTCGTTAACACCCCATCAAGTAAGTACTTTTAGTGTTTTTTAAAGGGGTATCGATGGGGGTGGAATTCCTTTCCTAGGTTAATCATTTACAAAAAAAATATTTCTTTGATTACTTAATTGATAAATTGTACCTTAAATTCGAATAAAAATACAGTTACTCAAGTGAGTAATTTAATTTTTACACCATAATTTCCGTATTTAATCTAAGATTATTGTGTAATTTACAAATAAAGAAAGGCATAACACGTTATCAATATTACATTCGGTGTAATTTCTGAAGTTCATACACTCCATTAGTAAGTAATTTATTGATTAACTTAATTATTTTAAAGGATAATTTAAATATAAATAAGTAAATTCATAAATAAATGCATTTTGAATCACCTCTTCTAGAGAAATGTAATTTTAGAATGCACCATTAACACGTAAAGAGGGGAATAATTCACTTATAATACAATTTAGCTCAAATAAATGGTAAAATGGATGATTAATGACTGCTCGAGTTCATTAATACTTAATTAAGTAAGTAATTTTTCGGTTATTTACGGGATAATTCCTGTATATAACGACAATAAAGTGAATGAATGCACGAAATTTCCTATGGCATGTTATAGATTACATAATTATATACTTTATAAACGTTTCTTCCTCGTTTATGTAATTTATAAGTGAAGTAAATATTGGTTCGTTTGCACGAAGATAAAGTTGGTTGCATTCATATACATGCAAAGTTAAAAATAAATACCACTAAAATGTCTTTATTGTTAAATAACAATTAGTTTGTTTTTTTTTTAAAGAATAAAAACCATTAAAGTAGTAAAGTTATTAAATGTTTCTAAATCGTAAAATCGATGCTGTTCCGTATAATTTGTCTTTATTTAAATTCTCTTACAGTGAATTTAATTCGAGCGTAACGGTTTATTATTTATGAAACCGTAAAGGACTATAATGGGAAGTTTTCTGTACGTAACTGCAAGATGTAGCTCAAAAAACAGCTTGATATACCTTATATTTTAAATATGCGAATCCAAAAATAGTTGGAGGGAATACCGTAAATTTTTAATGTGTTTTCGAGTTATTGATAGAAGAAACAATGGAAATTTTCTTCGATTTCAAAATGGAGAACAAAAAGAAGAGTAACTTGAATACATTTTGAAGTGTAGTTCTTGATAATCTAACAAATTTTTAAGGTGTAGATTAATCATTAATTTTAATATTCTCATTTTATTTAAATAGAATCTATAATAATTAAGAAAAAAATTATCTTTAAATATACAAAAGTTCACTTTTATGATTGCAAACTTAACCTAGATGATAAGATATCTCCCCGTGAAATTTATCTTATCAATAATTATAGTAAGAAGGAAATGATAAATCAGATTTACTACACGAAAATTTCTAAAATAAACACGATTAACGGGTTGAAATTGAGCGTTATAACCTTTAGAAAGAAAGTTTGTTATCCTGTAGGATGGATTTTCTCGTATTCGGTCAATTATTCGATAAAAATTGGGAGACAGGAATATATTTAGGATAGTAGGTCATCTGACAATGAACTCCACTAAAGACTAGTTGTTTTCATTCATATTCAACCCTTTAAGGTTTACCTCGATAGCTTAGACACAAGTACTAAAAAAAAAAAATCTAGTTAAAAATCATAATAAGTCATACCCGGTAAATAACGATTGAAAATTTTTTATATTTATTTATTTATTTTTCCGATATATTCCGAGTTTGGAGGGAAAAAATTCCCTCTTCCCCTTCTAAAGGCTCCATCTAGGTCATAGACACGGATCTTTTACCATCTATTTAAGGCTGATTCTCCTTTACGCGCGATTCATTTCTACAAGTTCCTTCCAAAGGATAGGTAAGTGTGTGCTCCTCTCTCTCTCTATTTATAAAATATGCATACAAGCATACTTAACTGAAAATGTTTAGTGTTGGGAATCGATTATAGAGAAAGTAGCTTTGTTAATTATTGTGTAGAGTGTTATTTTATTCCATAATTTATAGAGGAAATATATAATTATAGGCCTATAGTGTGTATAATTTCATAGTTTATATGTATTTATTTATAAATTGTCGAGAGTAAATAATGAGGTGGTTCTAAGGTTAGGTTCTAAGTAAACTAAGTTTACATGAGGTAGCTCTTAGGTTAGATAAGTAAACTGACTTTAATTGAGATAATTCTAAGGTAAATAAAGAGGTGGTTCTAAGGATAGGTACTATACTTATGTGCACATTATAACATAGGAGTTAATTTATAGTATTTATTCCTATAATATACCTATAATAATTTTGTAGGTCTGTTATATAGAATTTTTAATTATTCATACATATGTGAATCATAATAATGATTGATTATTTAACATTATCGGGTCAACGATTGCGTTCAGATGAATCTTCATAAAGCAAACCATTCAGACATTTTGAGGATGTGTTTGTGCTTGACTGCAAATATAGACGTTACGGTATTTATAGAGAACAGTAAACAGTTAAGTATTCTTTATATATGTACCATAGGCAGATAGTTCATTGATTGGTATTCTGTACCACGCTCCTGTTTTATTAAACTCGTCAGTGGTACCTTTTGTTGTGAGAACGAATATATCTCCCCCTTTTTTATAAGTTGTAAATACTTAAAATGTCATAAAAAGTAATGTTATACTTTCAAATTAATTTCCAATTGTCTTTGTTATGGTCGAAAGTTAATGACTTAATCATCTTTTGTGTTTCCTCAATTTGGAACTGTGTCACTGTGTAAGAAGGCCAGAATATCTTCCTTTAACCCAATTATTAAACTTTGCTAAGATTAAGTCATGAAAATAGAAAATAGAATATTAATTTTTTTTTTGATTTTTTCTGTTTTTTAAAAATACTTTTGTCTTAATCATATTTTTATTTTTATTTTTATTTTAGAAATGACGGCCATAATAGGCTATCAATTGATATTAGTGGCGATAGGAACACTACTACCGGGTATATGGGCGGGTGGAAAACATGGTCCCATTGTCCACGTGGTACACAAGGAGGTACCAGTGTTTCATAAAGTTGCTATTCCTAAAATAGTACCAGTACCGAAATTCTATCCCGTGCCCAAGCCCGTTCATGTACCACATCCAGTGCCTGTACCGGTAAAGGTACCGATTATCAAGACTATTCACAAAGTAATTACTATACCGAAACCAGTGCCAATTCCCAAGATTATCCATATACCTAAACCCGTGCCGGTCGGTGTACCAGTTCCAGTTTTTAAATCCATACCAGTGCCTATCTATAAACCACTTCATATACCAAAACATGTACCGGTTCCGGTTCCAGTGAAAATCCCAAAACACGTACCCGTACCNAGCTGGCAGCACTGTCACTTTTGTGTAGTGTTTTTCTGAGGACTATGTGTCATGCTGAATCGAACGTTTTTGATACTAGATAACTTCTAAAGTATAAATTTTTTTGTTTTTATATTTTTAAATATATTTTGTTTGTAAAAAATAAAGAAATAATTTTTAACGATACAATAGTCACGATTATTATTTTAAAAAGTTTACATTAGGCTTAACATCGACGAAAATTCAACGCGAAGCGACACGCAACGGAGAAAAATTTTAACACGGGATAGGTTAATGTATTTTTTCGTATATAATCGGTTATCCGAAAATAAGTTATCCGAACAACCCCAGTCCCCAATTGATTCGGATAAACGGCGCTCTACTGTATATACAGTACATTCTTCAAACCATAAAGATAACTTCTCAATTTACCTCATACTTAAATAAAGTAGTGGAAAATTATCAATTCGATCCTAAAAACAAGCTTAATTAAGCAAAATAAATTCGAAAATTCAAACTATAACTCAGATGGAATATAATAAAACCTGTGTGAGCCGGAATCGCACGAACCCGCTAGTGTTCGGTGGTGGTTTTATCCATTCCGCTACTGATGGGTTTGAATGAATAATTTTTATTTGCTCATAACATATAGGCTATATAATAAAGTTAAATGATTTATATTTTCTATCTTTTTCTCCCTCGGGGCTCCGTTCTATGTAATTTATTTTTTATTTGCAACACAAATCACGATATAGTTCCTACCCTTTCTGGTTACCGTTTAGTAGGCCTATAAATATTATCATCAGTTGTCTGTTTACACCCTCTTAAATCATTATCGGTTATCTATCCATAGTACTTTAAATAGATAACGGACGTTTTGTTCAATCAATCGATTCGATTTCGATTTCTGATTGATCAATCCGATCAATCAATCGATCGAAACAAAAGTTGTATCCTTAATGGACTTAATAAATCAAGAAAATTAATTAATAAAAGTAACAAATTTGCTTTTTAAATCGAATCATTATTAAATACAGTCAAACCTGTGAACAAAAAAATTGGCCGTTGTTTGGAGGGTTCGATTGTAATTGAATACCCTAATTCAACGTCCCTGTAAATATATAAATTTGGGTTAAAATATATATAAAAAAGAGATAAATTTTTATAATATAATTACCTTAATTCATGACATGAAACACAATCAGACCAAACACCTGCCTGTAGTCTTGAATTTGGGGGGCAGTTAAGTACACGGAATTGGATTGGAGGAGGGATAAGGCAACACAATGTCTTTTGGGTAAACTTTAACGGAATTTAGGTGTTTTTACACAAGACGAAAACCCGAAAAATTCCACGTGGTCCGACTCTTTTTAAGTGCGAACACGGGATCAACTAGTGGTGAAATTTGACTCATATATATAGGCTATATATATATACGCTATACTGAAAAAATTATTCTTAATAAACGGTATTCCGGGGTGTAAACTGTACTTCATTAATCATTTACAAGTGAAGTTCTCCTTATTTTAAAAATATTAATTCATTTCCTATCTTTCCATTTCAAAAATGCGTTAGACATTTTAAGATCACCTACTGTCCTTATTGTCCTACAATCGCACCTACAACTTTATCACTAACCTGAACCGAGAAGGGCAAAATATAAGTAGATTATACAGAAATCGTGTCTATTAACCTTTACTCAACCCTTCACCCTTGACCACAGTTGGGTGAAGTCGTGGGTTAAACCAGAACAACTATTTATTTTTAGTCAAGTGAGTTTATTAAACTTAGTCACAAGAATTTTAATGATGAAAATCTCTGTTATACATAAAAATCAAGATTATAAAAAGTGATTGTGTTAATATATGATATTCTAAATTTCTTAAATTTACTAATTTATTTAATTCTTTGGATATTTACACATCTGCTTATGCTCCCAAATAGAACGTGTTAATTAAATATAACAGGAATACATTACTTTATTACTGAAAAACTGCAAACTAGTTACAGTAGCTACTTATGTTTCCACATTTGGGTAAGAAGTAACTAGGCATTAAAAAATCATTATAATTTTTATTAGTAATAATGCAACCATAATAAAGTTTACATATTCGTGTACCGTAATCAATGTAATTTTATAATTATTTTATAGATGGGGTAAATAATGACCGTGGTAATCGTACGAGCAGCAGCAATAAAGATAGCCAACAGCTTGTTCGGAAGGAAACACAGATTGCTGCACACTACTAGCTGTGAAAATCAGTAGCTTGATATTCTATTTTTCGAGGAAGTTGATAGTTCCGTGCTTACATTAAATTTTAAAGTTCATTCATATTTCCATTTAATAAAGTATATTTTAAATAATTTTTATCTAATTGTTTTAAAAAAGTTTATAAATTATAATAATTTTTCAATGCCTAATTACTTTCAACCCTTCCCGTATATCGGTGATACGTAGTTTAAAAACGCAGTGTTTTTTTTTCTACAGTGGTAGCGCAGTTATAAACATTACCAAAACAGCAACAGAGGGCGCAGTTTGTTAAGCATTTTTCAAACGAACTGCGCCATCTATTGCTATTTAATAAAATAAATTTCTCTATTTTTACACCAAAAAATATTTTGGACTAGTGTCATTTATTATTACATATTTTATTTTTAAAAAATTTAATTATTCTGTTAAACAATAATTAATAATGTAATTATTGTTTTTTGATATATCTTGCGAAAGCTGCACTGTACCGGTGTCATGAAAAAGCATCAGGTGTTAAGGACTGCACGTCTCTACGCATCTATGAATGACCTTTCTCGTGAATCATCATACTTCTTTTGCAGATTGGGTCATCATGTGAGTTTGAAAGTTCTAAAAGATCAGACAATTCAACAACTCAGTAAGAGAGAAATACGCGTTACATTAAATTATCAATTAATATATTATCTTCGAATTGTTCTGGCACTTACTGAAGAAACTACTAGCATTTCGTGGAAGCCACTATAGAAACCAGTAACTCTACATGAAGAAATAACAGATGATGTGTTTTAATATGCAAACCAGAGAGCTGGCACGTTATATTAGCATAGCATGAATACAAATAACTGGTTACATATAGTGTATTTTATTTTGGGAATACAAGTAGTCGATGCATTTTGAAGCAAGCGTATCTCGGCTTACATGTAATGGTGGCAGAAGAACATAAGTACACGTTTACAAATGAGGAATCCAGCGATTTGATGATACTCCCTTTTATCTTGAGACTGCAGATCTGGTGTATATATATATATATAGAGTTTGTTCAAGAGAATAACTGTCATTACGTTCAAGCTCCTTCTTCCATCGATTGGGCAGGTCACGGATAAAACNAAAAAAATAGAGTTAAAAATCATAATAAGTCATACCCGGTAAATAACGATTGAAAATTTTTTATATTTATTTATTTATTTTTCCGATATATTCCGAGTTTGGAGGGAAAAAATTCCCTCTTCCCCTTCTAAAGGCTCCATCTAGGTCATAGACACGGATCTTTTACCATCTATTTAAGGCTGATTCTCCTTTACGCGCGATTCATTTCTACAAGTTCCTTCCAAAGGATAGGTAAGTGTGTGCTCCTCTCTCTCTCTATTTATAAAATATGCATACAAGCATACTTAACTGAAAATGTTTAGTGTTGGGAATCGATTATAGAGAAAGTAGCTTTGTTAATTATTGTGTAGAGTGTTATTTTATTCCATAATTTATAGAGGAAATATATAATTATAGGCCTATAGTGTGTATAATTTCATAGTTTATATGTATTTATTTATAAATTGTCGAGAGTAAATAATGAGGTGGTTCTAAGGTTAGGTTCTAAGTAAACTAAGTTTACATGAGGTAGCTCTTAGGTTAGATAAGTAAACTGACTTTAATTGAGATAATTCTAAGGTAAATAAAGAGGTGGTTCTAAGGATAGGTACTATACTTATGTGCACATTATAACATAGGAGTTAATTTATAGTATTTATTCCTATAATATACCTATAATAATTTTGTAGGTCTGTTATATAGAATTTTTAATTATTCATACATATGTGAATCATAATAATGATTGATTATTTAACATTATCGGGTCAACGATTGCGTTCAGATGAATCTTCATAAAGCAAACCATTCAGACATTTTGAGGATGTGTTTGTGCTTGACTGCAAATATAGACGTTACGGTATTTATAGAGAACAGTAAACAGTTAAGTATTCTTTATATATGTACCATAGGCAGATAGTTCATTGATTGGTATTCTGTACCACGCTCCTGTTTTATTAAACTCGTCTGTGGTACCTTTTGTTGTGAGAACGAATATATCTCCCCCTTTTTTATAAGTTGTAAATACTTAAAATGTCATAAAAAGTAATGTTATACTTTCAAATTAATTTCCAATTGTCTTTGTTATGGTCGAAAGTTAATGACTTAATCATCTTTTGTGTTTCCTCAATTTGGAACTGTGTCACTGTGTAAGAAGGCCAGAATATCTTCCTTTAACCCAATTATTAAACTTTGCTAAGATTAAGTCATGAAAATAGAAAATAGAATATTAATTTTTTTTTTGATTTTTTCTGTTTTTTAAAAATACTTTTGTCTTAATCATATTTTTATTTTTATTTTTATTTTAGAAATGACGGCCATAATAGGCTATCAATTGATATTAGTGGCGATAGGAACACTACTACCGGGTATATGGGCGGGTGGAAAACATGGTCCCATTGTCCACGTGGTACACAAGGAGGTACCAGTGTTTCATAAAGTTGCTATTCCTAAAATAGTACCAGTACCGAAATTCTATCCCGTGCCCAAGCCCGTTCATGTACCACATCCAGTGCCTGTACCGGTAAAGGTACCGATTATCAAGACTATTCACAAAGTAATTACTATACCGAAACCAGTGCCAATTCCCAAGATTATCCATATACCTAAACCCGTGCCGGTCGGTGTACCAGTTCCAGTTTTTAAATCCATACCAGTGCCTATCTATAAACCACTTCATATACCAAAACATGTACCGGTTCCGGTTCCAGTGAAAATCCCAAAACACGTACCCGTACCCGTCAAAAAAATTATAAAGATACCTAAACCTATTCCGGTTCCGGTTAAAGTTCCAATTTTTAAAGAAATTGTAGTGAAGAAACCATTCATTCTTCACGTTCCGTAAGTATCATTTTAATTGTTTATTTATTTAATTAGACTAAATAAACTCTTCTAAAATCTTAATTTTTCCATTGACAGTGTTTACATTAAGAAGCATACCAGCTACGGACATCATCATGGAGGATGGTGGTAATATCCCATTGTTTTTGGTGCTATATCGATGTAAATAATATATTCCAGCAACTTAAAAATCTATGTACATAGCTATTATTATTTTATATAATCTCATTATTAATTTTTGACTCAATAAAATTATTAAGCATTATTTTTTCTATAATATACTCCCTTTACATTATTCATCCATAAATATGTACCGGTGCCATAATATAAAGCAATGTCATTTTTCGAATGTAAGATCCATGCCAATGGAATAACTAGAACCTGTATTAGGAGGAGTCTAAGAACGTGCAAACCTATACCCTTATACGACTGTAAATGTGGCCATTAGCTCTGTGGATGAAGAGTAAATTCCCATGCGGTTTGCCATATTGAAATATTTTACCTGTACTTATTTCTTGATTAATTTAAAGAGGCCCGGACCTCCTGGAATGCTACTGGATCGTCCATTTGAATCTTTGACATCCTTAAATGACTTTCTATTCTAGTGATACACATGCAACTAAGTTTACATAGACCTATTTACTTAGTGAGATACATCCATGCACTCATGAACATGTAAGTCAAGAGAACTGGATTCATTGACCATGAACAAGTACATTTAATAAGGAAATAGCACGGTTTACTTTACATACAATAGCTATCTACGAAGCTTGAAAATCAAAATCTGACTCTCCGACACGAATTCTCGTCCATTCAGAACAGTAACAGTACGTTGGATACTGTAAATTTCAAGTAAACAAAATGGCCTCATCTAACTAAGACGCCATTTTGAATAATAATGATGTCGCCTGCATTTTATCTTAGATTTTTTAGCCTTTTTAATATATGATATAGCGTACTTGTATAACGATTTATCCGTCTACTGTCTCCTATAATATCTTCCCCTTCTTTATTGCGAATATACTGTAGTCAATATAGTGTAGGAATATCATAAACTCGATATAACCCGATACGCTCCACAGCCCTTAACCTTGTATGCATATATTGTGTGGGAGTTACGTTATTTTTAAGTTTCGAACCAAATTACTAACAAGGGGTCCACCCTCGGTATTTTGGATTAGATTGAATCTATGGAATAAGGCAATGTGATCTGCCAAAGGAAGAATTTTCTATGAGGAAACTGGGCCCTTGACACTTGATAAAAACCCCAAAAAAACCCTGCAACTGGACCGTTATCAAGTGCAAACTCACAATAGTTCATGGGTTTTATCCACTAGGCCATATATTGATGTAACAATTTTAACTGACCCCAATATTGATACGAGATCGAGCATCGATAATGATCTACGATCGTAATTCTATAGATAAAATGACCATCATTGACCTTACCTTAGTGTTTACTTTAATGGAAATTGCTAGGTTCAAGTAGGAACAGTTTAAACTCCCACATAATTTTATGTACACTTATATAAATACTCTCCAAAGCATTGAACCTCGATATAACTGACATATTAAAGTTATGCATAATATTAACAGGTGATTTGCATATTATGCTAAAGAATAAGGCGCGACAGTACGCCACGCGATCAGCTGACAAAACTATTAATAACTTTTATTTCCTCTAAAGAATTATTTAAAAATTTTCCATATATCATCGCATTGATGTAAGGGATAATCCACATGAAAATCCAACCATTTGTCAAATTACTTTTAAATTATAAGCAACTAAATTTTATAGTCACGAATTGGACGATAGAAATTCGTGACAAGTCTCTATCGCTTATATATTATAAATAGAACATTATTTTATACTATTTTCTAATAATAAACTGTAAGAATCTTCAGTTAAAAGCTATAATTTTTCTATATTAGCCATTTATAAAGTTTTCTATATTAAATAATTATGTCATCATCTCTTTGTCTTCGAGAGATATTCTAACTTATACAATTACTTCCTCCTTATCTATGCCCTGAAAGTATTTTTACATCATTATATTCTAATGATTATTATAAATTCCATGCATTTATATAATTGTAGACAAGTTATTGTGATTTATTATATAAAATTTGCGTGATACAACGATCCATTAAACATGGTATTTATATTTTCATGCATATGTTCAGGCATTAATACTCGTTAGCTTAATTAATAACGATTTCTAGTGTTCTTACGTGTGTTTTCTTTGTTTTTACTGAGTGCTGGGAATCTTGAGGTTGGAATGGCATTCACTTCACAGCTAACAAAGTTGCCTCAATTCTTAGAAAACACCAGCTGGGATGGAGTTAACCATTATATAGTGGTAGAATAATCAACCTAAATATTCTTCAGTTAACTCCGAGGAATTCTTTTTATAAATAATATTTATCATTTTATGAAGTTCATCCTCCCTTCTTTAATCTTGTGTTTTCAGATTGACACTTTGCACTTCATCCTGTGGTGGTTTTAGGTGTGTTCACGTGGCTATCTAGTAGGAACACGATTCTATTGCTGTCACTCCCCTATGGGATCCTTTCAATTTGCGTGTACTTTCCAACTATTTAACATCTTTTAATTGGTCAATAGACAGTTCTCGTCTTTCGCCATATTGTAAAGACAACATAATTTTCAATTCTGCAATTAAAAAAATAATAATAAATACGATAAAAAATAGTTTACACCAAATATAATATGTGGAAAAATAACGAGGAAAATGTGGAGAGTACGGAAGAAAGGAGGGAAATCTACACAACTACAGTAGAGCGTCGTTTATCCGAAAGTCGGTTATCCGAAATAATTTCAGTCGGCAAATTTAAATTTTCACTAGTGCTGTGGCGCTGCAATCTTTGGCTATATCTTGGGCTACTCCAATATTTTTTATGTTTGTGTATGTGCTTTGGCTGGCAGCACTGTCACTTTTGTGTGGTGTTTTTCTGAGGAATATGTGTCATGCTGAATCGAACGTTTTTGATACTAGATAACTTCTAAAGTATAAATTTTTTTGTTTTTATATTTTTAAATATATTTTGTTTGTAAAAAATAAAGAAATAATTTTTAACGATACAATAGTCACGATTATTATTTTAAAAAGTTTACATTAGGCTTAACATCGACGAAAATTCAACGCGAAGCGACACGCAACGGAGAAAAATTTTAACACGGGATAGGTTAATGTATTTTTTCGTATATAATCGGTTATCCGAAAATAAGTTATCCGAACAACCCCAGTCCCCAATTGATTCGGATAAACGGCGCTCTACTGTATATACAGTACATTCTTCAAACCATAAAGATAACTTCTCAATTTACCTCATACTTAAATAAAGTAGTGGAAAATTATCAATTCGATCCTAAAAACAAGCTTAATTAAGCAAAATAAATTCGAAAATTCAAACTATAACTCAGATGGAATATAATAAAACCTGTGTGAGCCGGAATCGCACGAACCCGCTAGTGTTCGGTGGTGGTTTTATCCATTCCGCTACTGATGGGTTTGAATGAATAATTTTTATTTGCTCATAACATATAGGCTATATAATAAAGTTAAATGATTTATATTTTCTATCTTTTTCTCCCTCGGGGCTCCGTTCTATGTAATTTATTTTTTATTTGCAACACAAATCACGATATAGTTCCTACCCTTTCTGGTTACCGTTTAGTAGGCCTATAAATATTATCATCAGTTGTCTGTTTACACCCTCTTAAATCATTATCGGTTATCTATCCATAGTACTTTAAATAGATAACGGACGTTTTGTTCAATCAATCGATTCGATTTCGATTTCTGATTGATCAATCCGATCAATCAATCGATCGAAACAAAAGTTGTATCCTTAATGGACTTAATAAATCAAGAAAATTAATTAATAAAAGTAACAAATTTGCTTTTTAAATCGAATCATTATTAAATACAGTCAAACCTGTGAACAAAAAAATTGGCCGTTGTTTGGAGGGTTCGATTGTAATTGAATACCCTAATTCAACGTCCCTGTAAATATATAAATTTGGGTTAAAATATATATAAAAAAGAGATAAATTTTTATAATATAATTACCTTAATTCATGACATGAAACACAATCAGACCAAACACCTGCCTGTAGTCTTGAATTTGGGGGGCAGTTAAGTACACGGAATTGGATTGGAGGAGGGATAAGGCAACACAATGTCTTTTGGGTAAACTTTAACGGAATTTAGGTGTTTTTACACAAGACGAAAACCCGAAAAATTCCACGTGGTCCGACTCTTTTTAAGTGCGAACACGGGATCAACTAGTGGTGAAATTTGACTCATATATATAGGCTATATATATATACGCTATACTGAAAAAATTATTCTTAATAAACGGTATTCCGGGGTGTAAACTGTACTTCATTAATCATTTACAAGTGAAGTTCTCCTTATTTTAAAAATATTAATTCATTTCCTATCTTTCCATTTCAAAAATGCGTTAGACATTTTAAGATCACCTACTGTCCTTATTGTCCTACAATCGCACCTACAACTTTATCACTAACCTGAACCGAGAAGGGCAAAATATAAGTAGATTATACAGAAATCGTGTCTATTAACCTTTACTCAACCCTTCACCCTTGACCACAGTTGGGTGAAGTCGTGGGTTAAACCAGAACAACTATTTATTTTTAGTCAAGTGAGTTTATTAAACTTAGTCACAAGAATTTTAATGATGAAAATCTCTGTTATACATAAAAATCAAGATTATAAAAAGTGATTGTGTTAATATATGATATTCTAAATTTCTTAAATTTACTAATTTATTTAATTCTTTGGATATTTACACATCTGCTTATGCTCCCAAATAGAACGTGTTAATTAAATATAACAGGAATACATTACTTTATTACTGAAAAACTGCAAACTAGTTACAGTAGCTACTTATGTTTCCACATTTGGGTAAGAAGTAACTAGGCATTAAAAAATCATTATAATTTTTATTAGTAATAATGCAACCATAATAAAGTTTACATATTCGTGTACCGTAATCAATGTAATTTTATAATTATTTTATAGATGGGGTAAATAATGACCGTGGTAATCGTACGAGCAGCAGCAATAAAGATAGCCAACAGCTTGTTCGGAAGGAAACACAGATTGCTGCACACTACTAGCTGTGAAAATCAGTAGCTTGATATTCTATTTTTCGAGGAAGTTGATAGTTCCGTGCTTACATTAAATTTTAAA